AATTTCAGAAATGCACTGCAACTGTCAGGCTGTGTCTCAAAGGTGAAGGCGTGCTTATAGTAGTTTTGTTTTTGGTTTAAAGATGATGATATTTTTAGACCTGACCTCAAATTTCTGTCATGTGCCCTTACAGCTGAACTGAGTCAGAAGCACATTGATTGCCTTCCTCAGATGCCATTAGCAGGAGGTCGGATGGAGAAATCTGTCGGGGAAAGGTCAAGAAGAGTGCTAATGCAAGGGAATAAGAAAAGTATCACTCATATTTACTCATATTCACTCCTGCGAATAAGCAAAAATCAAGAGCATAACCTTGTTTTGCTTTATTTATTGAGTGACATATTTAATTGGAAATACACGATTAGGACTAATACAAGCAAGTTGCAAAGTCTGCTTGTGCATTAGAGAACTAATGATTTTTAAAATAGTCTAATTCCACATGGCACTCCTGGATAAGATTGTTAACAAGGCACAACTGGAAACAAATGTACAAACCTCAGTGAATTATTCTAAAAGTTTTCCAGCATAGAAATATGCAAGACAATCCATCACACATTTTTAAGCATTCTGAAAGAGATGTTAAGACTGCACTGCATAGCTGTAGGCACGACACTGTGAATGATTAAAATAGCACTATAATGTGCAATATCCCTACAGCTTTGAGTTCTAAAGGAATTGAAAGAATGTGCATGAAGTCTGTTCTATTTTTGCACAGACACTTAAAGATAAAAGTCTCCTACAGCAATAATAATACTGAACTGATCAAGTATAGCATTCTAATTGTTCTTGGGTGGTAGCCGAAATTTGAGCCGTTTTTTATGATAAATTCCATTAGTGTGACCATTAAATGACCATTAGTGTAATTCCATTAGTGTGACATATTAAAGTACTCTATGCTTGGGATAAACCCATGATTATAAAGGCTCTTTATACATACAGTGCTGTGAAAACGTAGGGCTCAGAAAAGCTAAATTAAAGTTTTGGAGTGGCCTAATCCTGACTTGAACCCAATTCAGATGCTGTGGCAGGACCTTAAACAGGCAGTTCATGCTTGAAAACCCTCCAATGGGGCCACACTGTGTGATGGGCCAAAATCCCACCACAGCGCTGTGAAAGAGGGATCTACAGTAATCTGTAGCGTTTAGATGCAGTCAGGGCCATCCTTAGCTGATGCGGGGCCCGGTGCGATCCAGGGAGCAGAGCCCCCCTTGGTCCGTTCGAGATCGCGTTCCGGGGGGGGGGAATCAGGATCAAGAAATCAGGAAATCAGGACAGACAAAATCAGGATGGGGGCAAACACTTTTTCACAGCACTGACCATGGCTAGTGGAGAGTCAAATGAAATGCACCAGGCTATCTTCACACTCTCTGGGGACCGTCAATTTGTACGTCTGGCAGGTCAGTTTATAATTACACCCACCATTGTTGTCCCAGAACTCAAATCCTCTGACCCGGTAGCAGATGGCAAACTGTAGCATGGCACCTGGTTGTAGGATAAACGGCGGTACAGGCAGGTGAAAACGAAACATGTCCGACTCCGGATCTGGCCCATCTCTGTGGACGGTGGAGATCCAGCTCGCTTTACTCTCCGCGCTGCACTTTCACTCCGTAAACGAGTATCGTACCGTAACCTCTTTCTCATAGGCCAAGTTCAGCACTTGCACGGTTCCGATAATTCCCAGCTCAGAGCAAAACACCTGCTCCAGGCAAACTCGCTGCTGGCACAAGCGCTTGAGGAAACCAGCCTCGGCACGCATGTTGTCAGGGAAGGATGGCTGGAAGTAGGGTAGAGAGAGCTCCAGCTTTTTCCTGGAGGCCAGCTCAGAGCTTGCCAGCAGTCTGGTGATGACGTGGACCGGCACCATTGGGTCCTCGCTGGCCTTGAAGAGCTTCACATCTTCCAGTTCCAATCCCAACGAATCTACGAAGCGGACCTGCACGTTCCTGCAGGTGTGCTCTTCTGTGGAGGACGAGAGGGATTTAGCCCATCTCCTCATGATGGGTTTTGGCTCTGGCTCGCATGACTGCCTACGCCGGACAACGGGCTTCTGGGGAGGACCTGGTTTTGGGCTGGGTGGCCGTATTGCCACAGGGGTCCTTTGTGGGGTTGGCTTGGGGCGGTAGATGTCTCGAAGATGAAAGGTCTTGACGGGTCTAGATACTTCACTAAAACCACTTGTGAACTGCAAGGCAGGTCCTGATCCATGCGGATGGGATTCCATTCTCTCTGCACTCTCTATTAGCAAAAGGAGAAAAACTTGCCAACACAAAAAGTAATGTAATTCCACTCGTCACACTTGTAAATATGTGAGTGTATTTGGCAAGTAGCATCTTTTTGCTCTTTTGCCAGAGACATTTTACAAATTATGGACCACTGTTGACAACCATGAAGTGTCACTAAATTTGGAACTGTTTTTGTGAAATGAATTGCTATGTTAACGTAAAGACATTCAGACATTTTAAAATGTTCGTGTTCACTAGCCTATTCATTTCTTCCTTATTTTCTCCACTTAAAACACATAAATGGCAAAAGGAAACAGCTAAATACTGTTGACAGTTAAATACATGGAAAGCATATTCACACGAAACTCGAGCAATACTGTTCAATTTTACATCTCTACATCTGGCTACAGATTCTTACCTTACTGTGAGGTGTGAGGACACAACTTTACGAACTACGAAGAACGCCCTCGTTATGTGCAGTTAAAACTAATATAGGACAATGTTAATTTTAAAGTGGAGAAGACCCAATCTTCACCCAGTGTGGTTGTAATAAAATACGCGGAGATCGAGCGCCGATGACATTTAACTACTGCTCCCACGGGAGGTGTAGTCTGAACTATCTCCCCGACGATTATTATTAGACCACCGTACATGAGATACGACATTCTCACGTCCCGTCTGTAAACAATGCAGAGCGCTAATATCTCAGAGTGCGATCTCAGTCAATCTCGATGCAAATAAACGCCGCGACAAGCTAGAACGCAACGAAATTGTCTTAAATAGCGCGCGTCGCTCGCATACAGTGCACATGGGGTCTCAGACATATTTACAGTATCGTGTAGGCTTCACTGTAAGCCTATGACACTGTTGACTACATTTCCCACACAACAATGCGCCCTTCAGCATCCACACAGCTGGAATACACGCCTGCGTAAATAAAATATCCTCATTTACAAGCTTCAGACAATTAACTCCATATCGATTAGTGTAGCGCATTAGACGAAATCGAACAGACCGACTAATTTGACCAATGCATCTCATTACAGACAGGCTGATCCGGTCGTCGCTGAATTATTTAGTGAAAGTGACAGTGAAAGTGACGTGACATGTGGCCAAGTATGGTGACCCATACTCAGAATTAGTGCTCTGCATTTACCCATCCAAAGTGCACACACACAGCAGTGAACACACACACACTGTGAACACACACCCGGAGCAGTGGGCAGCCATTTATGCTGCGGCGCCCGGGGAGCAGTTGGGGGTTCGGTGCCTTGCTCAAGGGCACCTCAGTCGTGGTATTGAAGGTGGGAGAGAGCGTTGTACATTCACTCCCCCCACCTACAATCCCTGCCGGTACGAGACTCGAACCCACAACCTTTGGGTTATGAGTCCGACTCTCTAACCATTAGGCCACGACTTTAGGACAGAATGGTACAGATGCACCGAGGATTAAAGCGAGCAGTGCGCGAGACAGTCGATTGATCGTGGGAGTAAACCTCACATGATCGAGAAAAAATACATATCAGATCAAAAGACTCCGTGCATATAATATGAGAGAATCCATCCGTTCTAGAAGACCCAGGCTGCTTTGAGAAACGCCAGTGATGGGAACGGTCTTACAGGAGAGCACTGTGCATAACAGTCATAATAAGCTTCGTTCGTCTGATAGAACAAAAACTAAAGCTTTGGGACATGCACCAAGGTAACGATAAATAACCTTAATTAAATTAAGGTCATGTTTTATTTACCTGCCAGGTCACGCTTGGATAAGCTTCTTTAAACATGTTACCAAATTTAGCTGCCTTTATTTCTGAACTGATCTTGACTAACCTGACTTTTTCACTCAAAGCAAGAAAAGCACAAAAGCACCTTTGCATCCACCACCGAATAATGACATCAATCAGTCATCTGAACCTGTGAGTACTCAACAGCAATGGGTTATGTGTGAACTTAATTTAAAAAAGAAAAAAAAATATAGAATAATTAAATGAAGAAAAGTAAACGAGTATAAATTGAGCTTATGATTGTTATTTGTGAGTGCTGTTTTCCTCATGTCTGCAGGACTCTCGGCAAAGGTTAAGTAGGACGAGACTGGACAAAATGTTGTTCATGGCGAACCCCACAGGCAGGTTAGAAAAGAATTTGGCACATAGATGATTGATTGAGATAAAGGCTAACACTTTTTTTGTTTGTTTGTTTTACAGTGTTTAAGTTATGCAAGTTACATTTTACTATAACCTGATTATTATAATAGGCAGTGTTGGGGGTAACGCATTACAAGTAACGCGAGTTATGTAATCAGATTACTTTTTTTCAAGTAACTAGGTCTTTAACCGAGTAAATCATTTAAAGCGGTTTAACGTACAAACACAGTCATATCCCAGCAAACATTTGGACGTTTAATGACTGTTGAAAAGACGTCCCTCCGACACGTCCCGTCATGGTTGAAAATTATATCCAAAATGAAAATTGAACCGACGTCTTTGACATCATCTGGCCGTGAATTCCACGTCTTTTCTGCGCGTCCCTGGACGTCTAAATGTGTCATCTTCTGGATGTTTATAAGATGTGTTGCTGCATAATTTCAGTATAAGCTTGCATATAAAATAATCACACACCCATTGTGCAACATCGTGAAAGGCACATCTGAATTTGACCAATGTTCTAAAAAGGTCCAAAATCGGTCCAGTCAGACCTGAACGTCTATAAAACGTTTTAATCACGTGTATCACAAACAATAACGATGCATGGAAGTCAGAGCTGTGGCAGTACTCTTCCCCCTCCCCCAACAGTCTTGCATTATTGTTAAACAGCCATATATCAAACAAGTAAACAACAAAAATACTGGATAATGGTTAACACATGTGTAAATGTTTTTAGAGTTTTTGAAAGTTGTTTATGGCTAATTTTTTATATCCACAAGCCCCAGCACTTCCTGGAGCATGCTTCAGGTGTTCTGGCACTGCTGCATCCATGTCTGAGTCTGTATCATTTGGGCTTCACCTCTTCACAGCATCTGAGGAAAGAGAATATGAATATTTAA